CCTGCGCGTACATCGAGTACGACTCATACGACGTCGTGGTCGAGTACGGCTGATGCGCCGGGTTAGAGTAAGAGTAATTATGAGGCTGTGGCACGTAATGCATACCACTCTGAGGGTAGTGGTACCGCCAGTTCGTCGGTGCATAATGGTAGTTAGCACCGGTGGAATAAGGAGGTGCCTGGGGCGGAGCGTAGTGCTGTTGCGCTGCGGGGGCGTGCACCGGAGGAGCAGGAGGAGCACTGACCGATGGTGCAGTGGACGGCCCGGGAGTAGGGGTCGCTGACAACGGTGTCTGCGTCGGTCGATATTCTATGGTGGGCACGGTGGACGACAGAGGCGCGAACCGGAACCGTGACTGACCAGAAGACGGTGTGGGTGCTGCAGCTGTAACGCAGGTCATCCGCAGCACTCAACGGCGAACAAGAGTCGAAACTCACGATCCGGTTCGGGTGCAGGCTCTGACGGCTTCTGCCCAATAGTCACCCCTTCCATGTTTCCAAAGACCACGCTGCCCCACTTGAACTCTCGCTTCAGGCCCCTGTCCCAGAGCACCTCAACCGAGCACGACTCCTCCATGACACGGACAAGGGAGACCTCGAAGACACCCGCACTGACGCGCAACTTGATCCGCGACATCGGCGACAACGCGAGCAGGTCGTTGCGAATCTTGTCTTGCTTCACGGCCCGCTTCGCTTCCGCAACAGCCTAGCAGGTCGTTAGCATCAGAACGGATACAGAACGGATACCGCAAACCCGACGTACAGGATTATGCTGCGGGCACAGCACCTGAACTTCGGTCTTCTTGACAAGCTTCAGGACGCGGGGTTCAGACTGCCCGCTAGGCGCAGTGAACGTCGTGGCCATTTGCAGGCTCGGGTCGATGGGTACCGGCAGCACTTGCTCTGCGCCAGCGATACTGATACCTGATGCGTCCATCGGAACCTGAAAGCCATCTGGCTGGCGACGAGGATCCAACAGGACGACCTCCTTCTCGACCTCCCTCAACTCCTTGTACACGATGTTGTTCTCGCCACCATTGCGCGCGCACGACACGTGGAACGCCTTTGGGCACTTGCCCTTGGTGCACTGGATCGGGGCGCCATGGGCCTTATACCGCGTCTTCGTGCACGCAGAACATTTCTACCGCTCGTAGGTCAGCAAACCGTCTCTCCAACCGGACAAGATCGTCACGTACTAGGTTCCACCTGTCTTTCACAATCGCATCCACGCCAAACACGACCCGTTCCTTCGCCCGACTCCCATCTAACCTCGCCTCCCCGACCTCCACTTCATCCACCCACGTCTCCGGGACGATGTTGGCACACACTTCATGGGCCATCCACACGCCCTCGCTCGCCTCCATGCTCGACCCGCCCTCGCCCTCCTTCCTCCACAACGGAGGATCATGCACCCTCAACAAGTTCTCCCTCCCCATCGACACGCACAGGCAACACGGGAACACGTCCGGCTCCTTCGGCTTCGGCGGGAGCTTCAGGGTCACCTTCGTCGGCACGCTGCCCTCCGCGGACGCGGGGCGATTATCACTCTTCTTCGACTTGCTGCTGCTGCTCCCGGACTTGTGCTTTTTGGGTGGGCTCGGGTTCTCCTCGTCGCCCGCCTTTCGCTTGAGGGGCGATACTTTTAGTTTGGGTGCTCTCTCGGACTTGGGTGCACTGCTGGGTCGACGAGAGTTCGTGCGCGCGACTTGCATTCGCTCGGCTTCACGATCACGCAGAAGCTGGTCGACGTCGATACGGACGCTGATTGCAGATATTAGAAGGCTCAATTTGTAGTAAGGACACACGTATGGCCTCACCTGAAGTTGACGCAGGCGCACGCCTTCGCCTTCCGCCCGATGTCGATCCAACTGTCAAGGGCGAAATTGACGCTCTCCGCACAATTAAGACCCAGGTTGAAGCCGGCATGGTAACCCATCGGGAAGGTGATGACGAACTCACCCTCACGCTGAACGAGCGTGTTCGGTCGGCATGATGACTGGGACAGGAGATGAGGCGAGGCTAGGAATGACTTGTGCCTCAGGAACTGCTTGCAATTCGAGACGTCAGATGGGAAGTAGCCTGTGCCACGCAAATCACATCATGAGGATTGCTATATGCGCCATGAAATGGAGCGACGTACCTCTCATGGCATTCTCCAGGGTGGGCGCTTTCGCTTGAGGGATCGCATACCAGTATTTCGGCGCACCAAAGTGTATGTAGTTGATGCTGAACAGGTCCATGTCTTCAACATGCCACGCGAACGTCGCCCGCCACATGCCGAAGTACAGGTAGGGCGTGTTGACACCGGGTAGGCCCTTCGACGACGACGGGAGCAAGCGTGACAGTGCCGAGTCCAAGTGGCCAACATTCCAGGCTTTCGTCTCGTCGGTAAATAGTGAGCCTATCAACGTGGCTAAGTAGGCATCCACAAGACACTGCACGATCAGACGCACCCTGCATGTCAGCGCCATACCATGCTGGCTTGCCCAGTCCGCAGTTCCTCCAATACCGTCTCTCCAGCTCTCGACAGAACTCGGTCGTGTAGTCGAACGGAGTGGTGTTTGGCGGGAGCCAATCGGAGTGCGGATCAAATGACTCGAGGAATACTTTGTCTTTGGCCGCCCGGTCGGCGAGGCTCGCCTCCCGCGCTTGCCGCGACTGTGTGGCACGCTTCCGTTTACCTTTGGGTTGTTTGACTTCCTCCTCTTCTTCCTCCTCTTCCTCGTGTTTTGCTTCTACTTCTCCGTCATGCATGACCGCTTCCTCTGTCGCTTGCTCGTTCGAGGCACCTTGTTGTTCACCGGCGGCGTCCTGAACTTGTGGGTGGTCTGCCGCTGCTTCGTCCTCGACATGCTGCGGAGGTGTGGGTAAAGCTGCGGCGCTGTTGGGTGGGGAGGCGAGCGACTGCTCTGCGGCGGCGGGGACGACCTGTGTGGCGCCATCGTCTTCCTCCTGCTTGATCGCGTGCGCGTCGGGGTCATGATCAGGCTCGGCAGTCTCCGACTCCCTCTTCCTGCGCGTCCTGCGAGTGCGCGATCGAGTGGACGCGCCCGCGTTCGCGGCGCGTGCGTGGAGGCCGACGTCGTCAATGCCCGGTGCGCGCAATTCCTCCTTCGAGCAGAGCTCGGCCCACTCGCGCATGCTCATGGCGCGCCGCTTTTCCACGTTCTCCTGCCGGAACAGGCCGCCGCGCCCGAACATGTGCTGCTCGATCGGGTTCTTCAATTTCACTTGGCCCAGCTGGTCGTTCAATGGCGGGAGGGAATCGGTCCTGTAGAACACCGTGGTCAAACTTACGCGACGCCCGCGCAGCGGCAAGCGATGGACTGACCACTCCTTCGGGGGATAATCTTTACGATACCGCTCTTCATACCCCAACACTCGACCCGGTTCAAGTACGCCTCAAAGTCCTGGAACTCCTCCACGGTAGGTTTGAAGACGGGGATGCCGCGCTGGGCCCACGGGTCGTCTTCGGGGGTGAGCCATGTCCTGCCGTCGGAATGCGGGGACGGAGGAAGGTGGGCGTTGTCGGAGCCATAGAAGTGGTCAGGCTGGACGGGGGGCTCTGGGGTAGACTGGCGAGAGGAAGCCGGTGTGAGGGACGGAGTGTGACTAGAGGCGCTGGACATGATGCGATTTGGACGTTGCAATTGACGCGATGGCCAGCGGGAGCTGCGAGCGACGTGGCCCGGACACAGACGGGCTGTTGCTGGCTTGCTGGCAGCTTGCGCGTTGGTCGACGACTGCGAGGCGAGAGACTGCGCGGAGACGGTGGCCGATGTTGGTTGTCGAGACTGACCCAGTCCGGATTCCCGGCCACGCTCGACTTTCCGCCGCGCACGCCCCATTCCCATATATGGCTTAGCCTGCCCTGAATCCTCCTCCTGACTAAGACCCCGTGAGCCCCCTTTTAGGACTTATCTATATTTACTATGCCTCAGAAAGGAATATCTGTCGAATTCTGTGCAGTAAGCATACCTTCCTGCGGTACTCACTGCTCTTTCGCATCTCTTCCGAGGACCGCGACGGCAAGGCGCGCAGTCCGTACAGTACTCCCTCGTGTGCAGTCTTTTCTTCAATATCTCAAACCCCGGTGAAATGATACATACTGAGATTCGTTCATTGCTCCATATTCTATTCTCTGTAGCCAAACCTCAGATCTCAGAAGCGAGCAAGTTTGGTTTAAAGGCTCAGTATGTCCGTATCGCCATCAATTTCTGGCTTTGGGCTCATACTGAGAACATGTTACGAAATACCCATGCAGACTCGTGGACCGACATAACCCACCCACTGGTCCTGGGTGTCAACTCCGGAGGAGAGCTAAGAGCTTCATACACCGTTACCTGCTTGAAGTTCTGGGGCGGCGACTGCGGGTCAAACGTAGATATCCCCTCGCCCAAGAAGCCCGAATCAGGCCATGCCCGCTGGCCTGTTCCGTATGATGAGCAGAGCGCGTTCTTGATAAACGTACCACACCGAGCCATCGAGTGTGCTGTGACGATAGCCCGCTAGCGCGACCGGAAGCTGCGGCAGTGGACAAGCACATTCCTGTTTTCGTCGCGAGCCCAGTCGATGCGTCGCTAATGATGTCTTGCAGGTCTTCATGATGTCGGCGCGGCAGTAATGAACATTCACACTGTCGTTTCGGCTCTGCGGCTCTGCCACGAGGACGTCGGTCATACTCCATGCTGCAAGCACTTGGAGTGCAGCAGCAGACTGTCCCGGAATGAGGTATGGAAGTTCTACTGAGGCAGTAAACCTAATGTCCTTGTACCGTTTCGTCGGCGTTGGGCAGTGTCTTCATATTCCCTTTGCGTTGATACGTGTCCCCGACATTCTCTAGCCTCTCGTGTATCATCTGAGTTAGCGTTCACCATGACTGGAATACAATTATTCGTTTTGCAGCACTGGTGCTTCGCATGCCCACTTGAAAGTATAATCGCGTCTGTGCTTACGTAACACGCGTCGACGCGCGTCGAGCGTCAGACTTGCTGCTCGCAGGGACACGCACGCCTCAGCTTCTCTCCTCCATCCTCACTTTTCCTCGCCATGGACCACTTTCCGACCAACTGGGGCCGACCCGTAAGTCCTTGATATGCTATCATATCATCTTACCGACTAGGGTGTAGCGCAATGAGCTCTACGACCAGTACAACACCTTCCCGCTGCACCAACGACCCGCCAACCACACCGATGCATTCGCGGGTGGGGTTCAGCGCACACAGTGCGTACATCACGAATCATTACCTACAGACACGACTGACACACTGCAGACAGCCGATTGTAACAGGAACCAGCGTGCTCGCTATCCAGTACAAAGACGGCGTCATGATGGCTGCAGACAACCTCGGTGCGCTTGCCTCATCCCTCTTCTACACTAAAGCTAACTCCCAGCCCGCAGCGTCTTACGGATCCCTCGCGCGCTTTAAGGATATCACCCGTCTGCACGCCGTCGGCAACTCCACCGTCGTCGGTGCGTCCGGCGACATGTCCGACTTCCAATATATCCAGCGCGTCCTGGACGAGATCGTCACGGACGAGTTCACCGCCGGCGACGGGCACTCACTCGGCCCTGCGGAGTTGCACGAGTTCCTCGCTCGTCGGATGTATGCGCGCCGCTCGAAAATGAACCCCCTCTGGAATGCGCTCCTCGTAGGCGGTTTCGAGAACGGCAAGCGGTGAGTGCTTGTTGCATATATCCGCAGCGGGTACTCAAAGGTGTCGCAGATTCCTCGCATTTGTCGACCTTCTGGGCACGACGTACACGGCACCTTCACTAGCGACCGGGTACGGCGCACACATCGCCCTCCCCCTCCTCCGCGAGATCGTTGATCCCAACCCCGATGCAATCACCGAGGACGCAGCGCGCGAGATCCTTCGGAAGTGCATGCGCGTGCTGTACTACCGAGACGCTCGCAGTCTGGACAAGGTCTGCAGTCTACGCAACGTCCCACTCGACGGCGACTGACGCTTCAGTTCTGCAGTACCAAATAGCTACGGTCACGGAAGCCGGCGTGTCGATATCCGATGCAGAGAAACTGGAGACCAACTGGGACTTTGCGGAGGGGATTCGCGGGTACGGCGCCCAGACACAATAGACATGCGCTGTCGCGTTGTGCTGGATCGACCATCTGGGACGGTCCGTGTATGACTTGCCGATCTTCTTGTATCACCAATAATGACAGTCGTGGATGTTTTACACGTTGCTTACGGTTCGAGCTTGCACTCTCAGACTTCCAAACCGTAGGCCATCTGGCTGTTCGTGACGGGCTCTTGTGCATACAGGCTCTAACATGGCTCAGCGTTGATCGCGCAGACGCTAACCATTTGGGTTTGCAGGCACACAGACAGTAGCTCCAGTGCATTCGAGCAGTAAGTTCTGTCATATCATAACACAGCTATATACAATCTTCGTTCTCGTCATATTTTCTGAGGTATGTAGGTCGTGTGCATCTGTTCGTTATTCGTCTCTTTGATCTCTTTGGTTCGTATTAGAACTCCTTGCGCCGCCTTTCACAGGCAGCAATCCACGTGTCCATCCCTTGCCCTTTCTTTGTCATCTTGTCTTCGGGAGCCACTCCAAACTCACCGAACCACTGCTTTCCCTTTCCTGCCTCTCACATTGTCGCCATTGGGCACGTCGCTGGAGATCTCAGACGATTAATTGGCACCGCACTGCAGAGGTTCAGGTACGTACCGTGACGCGTCTTGCGTGCCTGCATATTGAGTAGAAGGTGGTAGCGTCCTCGCGGTGGCGGCCTTCCCTTTTCTGACTGCCTGTTGGGCCGACCCTTCGTATACATTGTCGCCTTCAACGAGATGGTCTGACTTCCCATGGACAGATTTTTCTCCTGAGGCATTCGAAGTCAAACTAGCGTTCCCCGCAAAACACTTGCTTTTGCGCTGAAAATCCACGAGGGACTCCGCCACCTCAAGGTCCTCAGCACCCCGATCCCTCATCCCAGCCGAGCGGATTAGAATCGCACCAGTCAGAGTCCGCTGGATTGTATAGTCTTCCCCTTGACTCACGTTAGTCCACAGCCGAACGGTCCACCGGTACCAGCACTCCCATGGGCTCCGCACCTGGTACCTCGGGCCTATCAGCGCATACAGCCGACCGAAGTTCTTTACGGCGTTCTGTCTCAGTCCCCCGTCTTGGGCCAACGATGTATGCTGCATCATGGTCCAGGTGTTCGTCCACAGGTCGCCCACTATGGCCGGATCGTACGTGAGGGGAGGTGGAGGGAAGGGCACGTTGTACCAGCCGTCGGCGCTGAAGAGCTGTGCCATCTCCTCCATCTCCTGCTCGGTCGGTCGCGTGTTCGTCCTATCAGCTTGCTCGTCCCTGACGCCGTCCGCATTACTCGCAGCAGTGGGTAGATAGTCTCCAGGCCATCCCGGGCATTGATGCGTTTTCCGACAGGCCTCGCTAACGCAATCGTCAAGAAAGGTCTTTGCTCGCTCCCTGTCTTCGAGGGCATAGTGCCCGCCGTTATGCTTCCTATTCCAATGCTCACGTACCGTATTCCAGAAGTGTCGCCAGAAGACCTCGCGCCGGCCCCAATTGATATTCGCCTTCAACGCTGTGTTTAACACCCAAGCATTCAGGTGGGGAAACATCAACATATAGTTGTACAGGTCGGTGGTGGACTGCCAGTCGTGGATAGAGGGAGGGAGAGAGGTGATGACGAAAACCAAGAGGTACGTCTCCCGAAGACTCCATGGTCGGTGAGCTAGTATGTCCTGCGCGTTTGCTGGTTCAGGAGGGGTCGAACTGAGCTGGACAACGGGTTGCAGAGCCAGCGATGAAGTATTGGGTCCAGCTCTCTCTGGTTGCGAATTGCTAAGATCGAGCGAAGTTGCTGGTGCCAGTTGCGGCGACTTCAGCGCTGGCGTATTGACAGTTGTTGAGGAACTGGGAGCCGGAGATGGATTCGAGATTGGCGCAGGAGTCGACGCTGGCGATGCGAACTGTGGCTGTGCTGAACTGGGTGACGGTGCTAAACTGAGTGTCTGGGATGCGGCATATTGTGGCACCGGTGTGTTCTCCTGGGACATTTCGGTTAACGGGCCCAGGGTAACAACAGCGTCGTTGTCCTGACTATGCGCTAGGTGGACGGGTCCTAGTAGTGAGCGGGGTGCCAGAGGCAGCGATGGGTTGCGTGCGCTGGTTATCTGTGCGGGCGGCATCCCCAAGGATGAGTTGGACAACACATCGTTATCATCTTGGGGTGCTTGTGTCGTACGGAGAGCTGAGCTCGTCGCGTCAGGAAAGTTGATATTGGCATCGCGCTGTCCAGTGATCGAGACGACGGCCGCAGTCAACCCGCGTTGTTCGAGCGGATTGTCATGCAATTCTGCATGCTCGATCTTGGGCTCTGTGGCAGACGATGACATATCCAGACCCCCGCGATTTTGGGCTGCGGTGTGGTGGTCGTTGATTGCCAAGGGCTCAATATCCATTAAACCATTGAATCTTACACGCGTCGTCCGTGCAGGATCCACACTCTCGTTTGCGCTTGTGTGGGATGATATTGCAGGACCTTGCGGGAGCTGCTCGGGATCGTGTACGGAGCCCATTGGTCCAGAGGTGCTTAGGCGACGTTCGTCGGTACCGGCATCGAAAGATCGGCACTCGGATGCTCTGTCCATTCCATTGATACTATGTTCAGGTACATTCATACTCGGACGATATTGCAGCGTGCAAGGAGCCTCCTGATCCGTGTGATTGTGGCCCGGCCTCTCACTTGACGCGTGATCCATGACTCTATGTGGCCCTCCTGATAGTCGACTCTGAGACATAGATTGTCCCGTAGAGAGGCAGGATCCCGTGTAAAACGCGTTCATGCCAGCGCGTGCATGGTGTCCGTGTTCCGTACCTGCTCCGGCACCATTTAACGCAGTACCATTCCCGTTCGGTGAGATGGATGCCTGCCGCAAAGAAGCAATGGATGTGGGGTTAGACAGACTGAACATAACAAGCGCAAGTGGTACTGACCGGATAGGTGGCGTGCAGGCTATTGGCACCCTTGGCGGCACTATGGGGGTGAGCTCTCATACTCGCAGGCGCTGGGCAATGGAGGGGATAGATCAGTGCTTCACAGTCGTAGGTGTCGCTGATTGTCGGCGAAGACGGTACTGTGGATGATCGTGGTAGCGGGACAAGTGAAGGAGCAGACGCGCCGAGTTTACAAGTGTGGGCCACCCTGGCCACACCGTGCACGGGATGTGGCTGTATTTCGACGCTCGTGACCGCGTCATGTCGCGAATCGCCCAGGCCCCAGTCGCAATATGGGCTTATAGATTGAGTTTCTGGAATATATTGAGACATACCAAGTACCATACATATGGCGTTGAATTCTGAGCATGTAAACATTCTAATTAGCGTTTGAGACCAAGTAGTACGCACTGATAGCTTACCGCCAGGATGGTCATTACCTCTGACCCCGGTGGTTGTGTCAGCAAACAATGCCAGAACTGAGACAAATTCTCATCGAACTTGCAGCTTGAGCCATATCAATGCGGCCATGACACGAACTAGTAGCGGAGAGCTGCTTGGGTATACCACTTCTGGCAGTACCGGTCGTCCCTTGTATCCTGAACTCGATAAGATGGCAGACATCTTCATCCAAAGGCCAAGATATGTCAGAGTGTGACAAACAAGACGTACGAGGATGTTTCGGTACAGCCATAGACGATAATGCACAATGCAGCTGATGAGAGTTGTGGCAAGAGCCGCACAAGAGTCGAGGCGAAGTTACCTACGCGGTCAGGTGACCCCCTATGCATTTCAATCCGCACGCAAGTTACATAAATTAGGTTCGACGCAACCCACTGCCTGTGTGGAGGGTCTGTAAAATGAGACTGATGCGCACCAATGCGCACCGAAGAACGACCTTGACATCTTCGTGTTGCTATTACAATCATGACACGGTCGAGTACTAGCATACGACTCCTCACCACAAAATCTACAGAGGCCATCGTACATACAAAACGATCGCTACCAGCAAGCTACTGTAAACTATTTCTTGATCCTCTTCAATGGGCGATCACTCTTGCCGTTCGAAGCAGCGCTCTCCGGGCCTATCGCTTTGCGGGACCGTTTGTTGGCAACTCGCAGCAATGTGCGCTTCACCTCGCCATCTGGGAAGCTGGAGAGGTCGTAGTAGTTGGAAGCGTACTCCAACAACCTGCACACTTGTGTCAGCTCGCGTGCAGGAGAGATGATGGAACGAGCTCACCATTCAGGCCGAAGGTCCGTCACCGTTCGGATGTATGGCTTGGTCGTTAGTACAAATTCGTTGAAGATTACCCACTCCGGCTGGTTGTCCAGCCCGCACGATGGATGCAAGTTAACGAGCTGGTTGTCTTTCACCGTCATGTACGCGCCCTTCTCTCCCTCCTTGTGTGCAACCTGCATGAAGAACCCGCACACGAGCGCCTGCCGTACGTACGTGTGCAGTCGCTTGGGGTCGGCTGTCGTCACGAGATCGATGTCGAAGCGTTCCATGTTTCTCTGCAGCTGCGCTCGCACATTATCCGCTTGTTGAAGTGCACGTTGGGAGAGGTAGTTGTTCCACGCCCAGTTTCTGTCGTGCGAGTCTGACGAAGGATGCGATAAGAAAAGAGGTCCTAAACAACGAAGCAACGGGGCTCACTCTGCTGGTAGTTATTGTAAACGTTCATCAGCGTCAGATGGTCTCCGTCAGGGACCGTCAACAAGGCCTTGGCAGCGTCCGCCTCTCTGCGTTGATTTGGCGGTCGCAACCAGATACTGGGCACTGTAGCGTACGGATTAGTACTGAGCGATGACATGAAAGAGTACTGGGCCGTACCTGAAAGCATCGCAACAATGGTGAGGATCTCATTGCTGCATTTGAATTCAGGGCTGACAATAAGCATCTTAGCCATTTGCGGGTCGAGTGGGAAGTCTGCCATCATGTGGCCCAGTGGCGTCAGGTTGCCTTCGTCATCGAGCGCAGCCAAGTAGTTGAGCAGTTCCAGAGCACGCATAAGGGTCTCCGGTGCTGGGGCGTCAACATAGTCGAACCTGACAAGATCCTACGGAACACGTCATGAATTGAGGAGCATGTAGCTACGATACGGGACGTACCTTGATACCCAGCTTGACCAACTCCAGCACCGTGTTGGCCAAGTTGCTCCGCAGGATCTCTGGATGAGTTTGTTCCTCCAGCTCCTTCATGAAATCTCGCTCGGTGTATAATCTGAAGCATTTGCCCGGCCGGGTTCGTCCCGCACGACCCGCTCTTTGCTGCGCCGAGGCCTTGGAGATCGGACTCACAAGTAGCGAGTCGACACGTATCCGTGGGTTGTACACCTTCTGCTTGGAGAATCCAGGGTCGACGACATACACGATACCGTCAATCGTCAGAGACGTCTCTGCAATGTTGGTCGACACGACGACCTTCCGCCCAGGAGGGCCATCCGGTGTACGCGGCGAAGGCGGCGGGTCGAAGATGCGCTGCTGCTGTTGTGGTGGGAGGGAGGAATAGAGGGGGATACAGACGAGCGGGCCGACGCTATCAGGGTCCTGGTTAAGCAGGTCGTCCGCCTCGAGCTTGATCTTCTTGCACGAATCCTCGATCTCTTCCTCGCCTGTCAGGAACAGGAGGATGTCGCCCGGCTCCTCCGCGCGGTGGATCATGAGCACGGTACGTATCGCGGCCTCGACGTAGTCTGGCTCCGGGTCCTGCGTATAGAAGACCTCGACGGGGTGCGTTCGTCCGGGAACCTTGAACAAGGGTGCGGGTTCGCCGCTCTTGTTCACAGAGAAGTACTTCTGGAACTTGAGGGCATCCAGGGTCGCAGACATGACAATGATTTTCAGGTCGGTGCGGCGCTTTGCTAGCGCCTTCAGCAAACCCATGAGGATATCTGTCGCAAGCGTGCGTTCGTGGGCCTCGTCCAGGATGATAGTTGAGTATCGCGTCAGGTCTGGGTCGTTCATCGCCTCCCGGAGCAGCATACCATCCGTCATGTACTTCAAGAAGGTCGTTCCTGGCTCTGTCATGTCTTCAAATCGAATCGAGTATCCGACCTGCTTCCCCAATGGTACTGGGGTGTTGTCAGATAAATTCACAACATCGACATCACGATATGGGAACTCACCGTCCATCTCATCTGCCACTCGCTTCGCTACGGACATAGCAGCTACTCGACGAGGCTGCGTACACGCCACGAGCTTGCCCTTGGTGTGAGGTAAGTCGGAGTAGCAAACGAACTGTGGAATCCTAAGTGTGTCAGTCAGTAAAGGGCAGTTCCGGCAAGACAGGGGAGTGAGTCGACGAAGTCCTTACTGTGTCGTCTTTCCCGAACCGGTCTCGCCCACCATGACTATGATCTGGTTTGCACTGAACTTTCTCGGACATGGTCATCAGTTACGTTCCTCTGCGCCGGGGATGCCGCATGCCTGGAGCAGACTCTGACCTCCCCCCACGATCGTTGAGAACCATAATTGACTCACCATGTTCAGAAACTCGTGCATCTGCGCGAACACTGGCAGCTTTTTGCGCATCTCGAGAATTCTCTTGTATTGGGCGGAGTGTGGCTGCTTCGAAAACGGGTTGACGTCCCCTTCCTGGCCATCTTTCAGTTGCAGATCAACCCCGAGGAAATCAAGTACTCACCATTGCTTTCGTCACCTGCGTCGCATCAACATGCCTAGGTAGCCATCCATAGAAGGGGTCTTTATCACCAAGAGATTTTGACGAGCCGGGACCTGCCAGTGGTGGCGCTCTCGTGTAGGGATTTGTCATGTTCGCCACGTAGATATCACAAACAACAAGAGTATCGCAAAGGAGGAGAGGAAGGTGTACGGGCGCGGCGGGTGGCAGTGGCACGCAGCCAAGTCGATGCTTTCCCAACAAGGCATGGGCGGCCATCGCACAAGGGAACAAATCCCCCGCTGACGTAAGCCGGTAGCTGCCCGCCCCCAACCAGGAAGGTGTAGTAAGTCACCAAGTTGCTCTCAACCATCCCACCAGCATACGGCCGCATCGCAATGATTACTTCTGTGGTCGCGTTTCAATTTACGCATTATGACGAGGTGGACTCAATAATCGGCTACGGTAGGCTTGCCGGGGATACTGCACATTGATTTATGATGTCCACTCCGCTAGTAGCACCAACATCTTCACAAGGACGAGAACGTTCATGTGTGTAATTTGATCGGGCAATGGCCACAGTCGGATAGACAATGACGACGTACAACTTAGTCTCACTCACTCACAGGTGGATGTACCTCGCTCGGCATTGTACCCTAAATCATATCTATAGCGATTTTTTCAATCGCATGATAGTTTCTTCCGGCGGGCTATAGCCATCGGAGGGACTCGCTGAGTACCTCCAACCCGAACAAACCGAGCGACGTCGCTTTCACGCATCAAGCGAGGTCAATTGGATCGTTGATATCCGTGCCGGTACACTAGCGCTTCGACGCGAGGGAAACTTCACTCCTATGAGCAAGCTTCGCATCTGGGACCCAAGGAACGTTTCCTATAATTCATAATCTCGCCTCGGTGAAATTATACTCACTACCGTGACTCAATGAAAGGAGCTTCTGATGTGCATAATTGATTAACCTCAGCCAACGAAGCATCCTCACGCAGCAAAGCATGCAATTATCGACGATGCCTTTGTAGAGGTCTATCGCTAGCAAGTGATATATGATACAATGTTCCGAACACTAGAGGCGCGAGACTACCGTTGGTCCCTAAGATGTCTAGGCTAGTCGTGAGAGTCGTGATTATGAATGCCAGGGAGATGTGAAGAGCGGAGATGAGGGGAGCGGACCCGACCTGTTTTGGAATATAGCAGGCGATCGCGATGCAAAGCATGAGACGAGGAGAGTAAATCGTGCAGGGTACATAGATGACGATGAATAGTGGGTGCGAGATAATGATGCCGATGGGCGTGCGCGGCGAGGCATCGAGCCCGGGAGCGAGCGAGCCAGAATGACGGTCGAGGACACCACTACACGTTCTCCACGGCGTCCGTCGGTTTGTCCTTCGGTGACGCCGTTGCCGGCTTCGTCGGCGCATACTTCGACTTCTGCCTGATAATCGGGCCGAACTTGTACAGCACGAACGGGATCGGGCCCAAAAGGATGGCGATGAAGCCGAGCAGCGTCGACGCCCACCGCGGGTTGAGCCTCTCGTACATCTGCGCGGCGAACAGCGGGAAGCCCGCGCCGAAGGCCGAGCGCACGACGGTGTTCGCGGCGAGCGCAGAGGCGGCGACGAAGAGGTACGCGTCGATGATGTAGTTGAAGAGCGCGAGGAAGATGTAGACGATGCTCCACCCGAGGGGGAAGCCCGCGATGAGCGGCGCCCACAGGCTGACGGTCGGGTACGAGGTCCAGCCGAACCAGAAGAACGAGATGGCGAACATCGGCGCGGCGACCATCGCGAGCTCGAGCCGCTGCTCCGGTGGGACCATGTCGGGTGCGTAGTGCTTCTGAGCCTTGATGTAGCGTGGGTTGAAGATAAGCAGGTAGCTGACGACGCCCGCGACGGCACCGACGAAAATCGGCAGGAATGTTAGGCCGGTTAAGCCAACGTTGAGGTTGTGACCCTCGGAAAAGACAATGGGGTACGCCTCGAACAATATGTAAATGCAGGCGTAGACGAACTGTGGACATCCTTCAGGTGGCTGTAAAGTGACAATCGAAGGGGCACTTACACTCATATAAAGGGTGACCGCAATGAGCATGGGCTCCTGGAAGAGCACGAGGAATGGACGGCCAAGCACACGCTTGACATGCTGGCTAAGAGTGTCGCTGCTGCGCTCGAATGCTGCCCAATACCGGTCATCACCAGTCTCCTTGCGCAGCCGCTTTGCTTTTCGTACAGTCAGGATGGGACTGAAAGTGAAATCAGCTTTAAAACATCGTGGGACAGCGGTATGACTAACAGGAATGTCTCGGGGAGCGTGAAGATGATCAAGAGCAGACAGGCGCCAGCAAACATGGTGAGCACCCAGAAGAGCCACCGCCAGTCTACACCAGCATCTGCCATGAAGCCAGAGACGATGGGGCCGATCGTAGGGCCCGCGAACGGGGCAAGCGTGAAGAACGCGAGCGCTTCTCCACGTGTCCCCGCATCCCAAATATCTGAGATGACAGCCCTAGTGAAGGCCGATCAGCGAATAGGCGTAGACACAATGGCACTATGTGCTCACCCGCTGTTGGACAATGGTGCAGCTGCGAACGTTCCGCCCAAAAACCGGAAGATCAAGATTGACGCGGTGTTCCGTGAGAGGGCGCACCCAACCTGGAAACAAGTGTAGACGACAAAGCTGATGATGAACACGTTCCGTCTGCCTATTTGCTCCGACAGTGGACCCCACACGAGCGGCCCCACGCAGTAACCCGCGACAAATAGCGAGATGGTCAGGACGGCGACTTCCTCGCTGAAAGTGAAATATTCCATGAGGTCCTGTTCAATGCCTTCCGGTGCTGAACTCGCGAATGTCCTGGAGACATATTAGCCGACGCTGATAACGGTGGATAATGAAGAGATCCGTACGCGTTGAGAACCAATAGACCTCCAAGCATCGTCAGATACCACTTGTATCGCGGCGACCAAGTCTGCGGATTTTCTGGATCATCGGGAGCTATGGTGACTTCAAACTTGTCCCAGCCCTTCTCTCCTGGCCTGGGACCCAGCGCCTCGCGCTCAAACTCCTCTTCGACATTCTGGTTTGGTTCTGACATTTCGTCGTCGACGACGGTTGAAGAGCGTGAGCCTGCCTCTGCTGTGGTGGTGGCTGCGGTGACTCCTGGCTTTGCAGATCCAGACGCCGAGCCGCCCGGTGGCGGCAGAGAGGAAGAGGAGGAAGCTGCAGTCGGCCTCCTGATGGACGCCATGAGGAAGGGGCGGGGGGACGGAGAGGAAGGGTGTTAGGAAGGTTTGGCGGCAGCTGGAGAACACCCCACCGCGCCTTGTATATATGACATTTGTGCGGCTGGATCGGTTGAGTGCTGCTCCCCTTGTCAGCACTTGCAGTCAGCCAGGAGTCAGCCTCCTCATCGTGGATCGGTAGCCACCCGGATAACGTCAGGCCTGTCACACACGCCGTCACGCCGTCACGCCGCATATGGGCGCTTGTGGGAGACTGTGACTGGCCGCCCCGCCGCACGTCGCTCGGCCGCACCGACCCACAAGGCCAAGGCCAATATCGTGAATGATATGTTATTCAGCGTCCCACATCGCTCCCGCTACGGCACCCAACAAGAGTCCTCTCGTCCAGCGGCGAGCACAGACGAATGCACACGGCAAGGGTCTGCCAAGCTTCGAACGTTCCTAAGCGTTCTCGCACAGACCCGCAGCCTCTTGCCCCGTCGCCCCACTCGAGGAATCGTGCCGGTCGAATTCTTGCTCTCCCGAAAAAAAACGGAAGAGCCGCTTTCACTTCTCCCGCCGGCTCACGCTCAGCCACCTCCTCAGGGAGGCTCGCGCGCGAGAATCTCGCTGGTTCCGTACAGTTCCAGACATAGCCAAAACAGGAACGCAGTCTCCCCGAGCCCACACCGTGCACCGTGACACCGTAGGCCCAAAGCACACTAACGAAAGCCACAATCCGTACGCTAGTGTCGCACTCACCGAGAAACGTCATTGTAACGTTACCGTGCCCGCATCCATATGCGTCCAGTCCGCGCCCGCTCCATGCCCGAGCGAGCTGTATCCTGTGACCGAAAAACAACGGTCAACCCGCTGTCCCGAGCCTCCGACTTACGGAAGCCACGTCCGGTCATGACAAAGCCTATCAGTCTTCGTGCTATCACGCAAACGACAGGGCGCGCGCGTCCAAGTAGAGTTCGTCGCGGCTGTCACGATGGCACTGCCGCCTTGGTCGCAGCAGCGCGACCCTGTGCGACGTGAGCGGACGACGGTGATACCTGCTGACGGGGGGATGACGGCGGGAAGGGGGAGGCGAAGTGCGCGTCGGTGGGAGCTTATATAAGTAAGATCACTGATGGTGAAACATGTTGTGGACGCTTGTGGGTGCAGCACGCCAAGTCCTCAAGGGCCCCTGCCACATGTCTACTCACCCTCGGGAACCGAATACGAGCTCCGTGTACATAAATACAAGCCTGCGAAGGTCATCTTCACCTCACGCTTCGGCGTCTCTTCATCGCATACCAGAGTGCATTAACAATGAATGATCCGTGCAGTCGAGCCGCCGGGACCCGAGTCGAAGGTATATTCCCAAAGTCAAAACCACCGCAGAAGAAGAAGGGCGGAAACGAGCGACCGAGACTCTGAGGGTTTGCTACATATCCATTACAATTAATGAAGACAATCTATACACGATACACTCCGCGCCGCACAAACGCAGCTGTAGTAAACGACACGGGGGGTGGGATGTCAGAGGGGGGAGCAACGCCAACTATTACACTGCAAGCAGCAGAGCACAAACAACATCGTCACAGCACAACACTCAGTATGGTACGTACGTAAAGAGTCGTCGCAAAACATCGGTACACCCACCAACGACATGCCCGATACCGCATTGCGCTCCTGCGCAGGCCCCACAGACCGCAGGATCTCTGAGCGCGGATCCGTCGTAAGATCATACAGGCGGCGAGCACCCAAAGCTGGTCGCCTGGCTCGTCTGGAACGTCAGCTTGATCGCCGTGCCCGACCCGTACATGCCGAGGCACGCCATCGACAGCGCCGCGAGCGCCAGGATGAAGTTGAACGTCTTGAACAGCGCCTTCTTCACGCCGCCCCCGAAGAAGCCCGCGCGCCAGTCGACCACGCCCGTCACGGGGTCGCGCCCGTCCTTGAGGAAGTAGAAGCCGAAGATGAGCGCGGGCGGGAACGTGTACGTGAACTGCATGATGCACACGGCCGCGACGAGCCCGGAGATGGTCTGCACCTGCGGGATCGCCGCGCCGACGATGAACGCGAGGGCCCAATAGAGGAGGACCATGCCTGGAAGCGATAACATGTCATGTTCGGTCTTTCAAGGAGCAGCAAAGCGTGTACGTACCGGTCCAGATGAAGCGCCCCTTCTTGCTCGTGAGAGGCGGGCCGTTGAGCATCTCCTCGACGATCGCGTAGTACGCGACCTTGATACCGATGTTGCCGTACAGACCCGCAGCGATGATACCGGTGACGAGACCCATCACGTTCCCGACCGTCTGCCAGCCGTACTTGCTGACACCCTGGTAGGCGATAGAGAGCGTGAACTGGCCCTGGTAGCTGTACACGAACAAGCCTATCCCCCCCGCGCGTCAAAATCAGAAAATGCCCGAAGTCTGAGGGAGAGGGGGGATGCGACGCACCGTAGAGCAGGTACGCAACGAAGATCAACGCCTGCGCGCAGACCATGCCCTTCCAGAAGTCCCAGGGGCGGCGCATCTCAGCGAGCATCTCCGGGAAGATCATAGCACCACCATAAGCTGTCCAACGAGCCGATCAGCGATCGCCGTCACCGTCGGGCATCACAGAGGCACGCACCGAAGACCATGTTCATGATGCCGTTCACCTTGTTGGGGAGCGTCTGGTCCACGAACGCGGCAGTCACGACCGGGCCGGGGTTGATGTCGTACGCAGACTTCGCGCCGGCGTAGTTCGGCGGCGAGTGCGAGATGAAGCCCATCGAGATGAAGATGATGCTGGCAAGGACCCACAACTGTCAGGCACGAACTGCGTGGCAGGCATTTCCAACTCACGCGAGGTTGATCCACACGGCGCTGTTCGCGAGCCATCCGTAGTTCTTGAGCGTGCGGATCTGGCCGATGAACATACCGACGAAGGCCCAAATGACAATGCATACGGCAAAGCAAAGCTAATTCTCGCTGTCAGCCCAGCTAACCGCGGCACTGAATTCGGGCCAGACTCACATGCTCCTTGGTGATTTGACTGAGCGACTGGCCGTTACTCAGACAAATTGTGCCAACGTTGATGATCAGCTGGATGCTCTGGAGGATGCTGGACATGTGCCGGGACGCTCTGCCGAAAATGCGCTCCATGAGGTCTGAGTACGTCTTGACGGGGAAGACGTCCGAATCGAGCTTCATGAACAGCCACCAGAGCAGGAGCCCGGTGTAACAAGCGGTAGCGCCCATCTAGAATGCGGTCGCACGCATGATAAGATACGGCGTGACGTCAATTTCGCGTCTTCTGGGGGGTGCTGGCGGGAGATACGCACGACGAAGTACAGAATGACACCGGGGGCGTAGCCAACCTGGCTGATGGCATATGGCGCGTTGAAGGCTGGAACGACGGGTGTCAGTTGTCTCCAGGGGAGGCGAGGCACGCAGCGCAGCTACTTACGACCAAGGATATCGGTCGTGATCAGGTAGAAGACAGCCGCCCACTAAGTGAGAGTTAGCTCCGGACGACTTGACACTGGGGTGCGAGCTAGGACTGACCGAGGCGCTGCGAAGGGCACGGCGGGCATTGATTCGCTCCTTCTCCTCCGCCGTCAATGCTGCCTCGGAGACCACGGGAGCGGGGCTCTTTGACGCTTTACTAGAGGGCGGTAAGTACGAGAAGAGAAACACAAGTCGCGCAACACTCACTCGGTGTGCGTCGAGCTATTCGCGGACGCGGTGTCGGAGCTGGACCTGCCCTTGTACTGGGTCTCCTCGAATGCGCGCTGGCGCTTGGCGGCAGCGAGGTACTCCTCGAAGGAGGGCTTCAGGCCTGCATATAGCACGCGATGAGAGACTGCAGACCAGCGAGGGCTGCAACGGTGAAGATAGGACGTACCATCATGGTGCGGCTCGAAGAAGTCGTGGCCGTTCTCCTCCTTCTCGAGGCGGGGGTCGCCCTCCAAGTTTGCGTTGTTGTACATTGGGAACGCTGCCTGGGTTCGGACGGGTTGGACGTCGAACGAAGGGGATGGGATGAGCGAGGGAAAAGTTGCGTGCCCGGTCCATGGGGAGTGGCCTGGTTCTTATTAACGCGCGAGCGAGCGAGCGCGCGGGAGCATGTGCTCGCTGTCCACGAGCGGAGCGACGTTGAAACACCCCGATTGAGTCTGATAACCCCAGCCTCGCCCAATCGCAGCCCCCGCCAGCCCGATTACCCCCGGTTTGGGCATGCCGATCCCTTATTCCCGAAAATAACCTTCCAGATCTGAGATCGATCCCAGGCACACCGTCAGCCACCGCTCCATGTCCTCACACGGCTTGCCACCTCCATTGACCTCTGTCCTGCCTCCCGTGAGCTGCGCGTCTCCGCGCAACACTCGCCTCGTCTCGCGCGAGTGCAAAGGCGACGCACCCAGTTACCTGCGCACGACCATATGGCCAATCACTCCGCCGCATGCTCTGCAGTGATCGCACGGGCTCCGAAGCCGCCGAAGCTTGCATCCTCGCACCGGGTGTGCATTCTTGCGCGCCTTCGACGCCACCCCGTCCATATGCCCGCCGCACGTCTGCCCCTGTCTACACCAAGTCTACACTCCGTTCATAAGCACAGCCGACATATACAGCGCGGGTGAAACCGCCACCGCTGCTCAAGACACCCGACATGCTGACGAGTGTTCGATTTGCAGACGAACAAGTCGTACACTGTGTCTGATTTCTTCTGTCGCGGTGGAGGCGATTCAGGGTGCCATGTCTCCCGTCGGCTCTTCTGGCTCGCCTTGCGTACGTTAAGAGCCTGTTCCGCCCCGTCTTCTCCTCTGCACCTGATCGCCGTCCTGTCGTTTCTCTGCCTTCTCACGTTGGCTGTCATCCATGCGATGGGCGCGCCCTGTGCAGCCGCGTCTATAAGTACCCGTATCATATGGCGAGAGAAAGCAGCTGATGACCATGCACCCTCGTGCCCACCTGCCAATGTCCATTCAAAACGGCACCGCGCCCCAGCGGTTCGAGTCGAGGCTTGCTCCTACTAGACATCGCACTGCCCAACGCCCGTGTCCCCCGGACCGACGGTCGATGCTCTGCTGTTGACGGTCTGGATGACTAATGTGAGCCGTGGCCAGGCACGTCGGTCAGTGTGGGCGCCGTATTTGACATCCGCCGCCGCCGCCGCTCCCCGAATATGTCGGATGGCTCCGGCGCAGCTCCCTCCAGAGTCGGTCTCAACCACCCCGGCCGGCGCAGCCAACGGCGCAAGTCCTCGAACGCTCATCGACACCCGGTGCGCAGCTCGTACGTCTGTTCCCTGTGTGGCACGGCCTGCGCGACGCGCGCGACGGCTGCAGCGCCATATACAGATCTCGATGTGAGATACAGCATGTGGTGCGCATCACTGCGGCGGGGCCGGCGAAGGCTGATATGTAGCGGAGCTTGGGCCGCCCTTCACGGAGGCAGATAAGGACCGTGACTCCGGCCTCGAGAATGCAAGTGTTTTGCAAGTGTCCTCTTGAACGGTGAGGCCGGTGAGGGGTGTTGCGTAGCTCACTTGCAGGCACGACGGCGGCCTTCTGCCGCGACGTTGCACGGGCGACTGCGTCTCGAGCAAAGTCGTCAGCGAGTCGTGCCGATATCGCGTCATGCACATTGTCAGGCAAGAGGCGGCAGGAATTAAATTTCCGTACACAAGGCCGGTTTTTTCCGAAACTTCAATATCTGGACCCCCCACCCTACCACCCCCCTGTATATTATTATTTTTCGGCGGTCCTGCCTCCAGACCACCCCCCCACCCTCGTTCAATCAGTGAAAAAAGTGCCTTTATATTGCTGAAAAATCTACAAGCCACGTAGAGTATGTGAACACTGCTCTATGACATCCGCACCTTCTTCGACGCCGTGTGAGTGGCTTAGTGAGAGCGCAGGCGGAGACGTGCACACGCAGATATGCAGGTACACATATGACCGAGTTGGCAGACAATGAAGCAGAGTGGTGATCAGGCAGGCGGGTAGTCGGCAGGCGGGTGGCATTGTAGGTGCCAGACGGGCGAGCATGCAGGCGAACGAGCCGGGAGATTCATTTGCAGCTTAGTGCAGAGCAAGGGTCCGCCGAACCCGCGCGGGTCACGGGTAAGGGTCACCAAGGGTAAGGGTGGGGGTCAGCTTCGGCCAACCCTCGCACCCGTAGCCATACCCGTGGGCTAAGTTCCTTCATTGGACAGCTGGGCGACTCAGACTTTCGACGGCGAACACCGAGTGGCTTGGAAACCTTATCAATGAACTGCTATACACAAGTTCGCAAGCCAGAGCGGTCTCTCGGGTCTACCTTTAGGCTGAAACACAAGGTTCCACTGCCACGATGCCTAAGTCCACCTCTACCCCGCCTTCTCGAAGCACCGAATCATCGGGGAAGCGCGCTCGAATTCCTTCGGAGAAGGGCGCAGTGTTAGCAGCAGCAGCAGCAGAAAAGACCAAATCGAAGAAGGTACTCACCACTGCGGCGCCGAAGGAGCCTCCGACGACATCGAAGAAGCAATTGGCAGTGGCAAGGAAAGTTCTCAAGCCAGTGCCCGTGAAGAGCATGGCACCCGCGCCCGCCAAGCCTGGTCCACAAGTCGCTGACATCGTCGACGAAGATGACACTGAGTCGAGCGATGATGACGACGATATTGTCGAGGTTGATAGCTCTGGGCGCCGCAAGCAAACGGCACCCGCGAAGGAAGAAACTCCTGAAGAGGAGCTCGGTGAGTGTATGCTGTGTCCGAAGAACCTGTGCTCACCATGACCTCTCACTTGCACAGAGCGTCTTAGCAAAGACTGGGTTGCACCCATCTATGCCTTTTACAAGCGCGAAGTTACCATACACATCGCTGATGACGGCAAGCGTGCGCACGTCTTCGAGTGCATGAACCATGGCTGCAATGTCACCATCAAACGGTGGCTTGACAAGAAAGACCGCTCGTCCACGAGCAATCTACGCAGACACGTCAAAAGATGCTTCAGCGAGGAAGCTCTGGATGCTGCGGATGCGATCGGGACAATCAAGAAGGCCCGCGATGACGTGAAGACTTACCTACGATCCGGTGATCTCACGGTGTCATTCACTCGCACAGGCAAGGGAAAGGTAACCTACTCAGTGCGTCAGCATACGAAGAACGAGACTCGGTAAGCATTGACATTGATGGATAGGAGACGAGTACTTACTTACACGAGTTATCAGTGCTGAGATCGTGCGCTGGGTTGCCGAAAGCCTGCGGCCCTTCACGATCGTCGAGGACCGCGCATTTCTGAGCCTCATGAAAACAGGGAGGCCAGAATACTATATTCCATCTCGCTGGACGGTCGCGCGCGACGTTCAGCGTGTCTTCATCCGCACGCGTGCTCGTATTGCGAAGATGCTTCAGGTCAGTACGCGAAATCAATACATAAAACTATCTTATAACATACCTTAGGATTACGACGGCGAGCTGAACTTCGCTACCGATTGCTGGACCTCACCCAATCACAAGGCTATGGTAGCCTTCTCCGTCCATTTCGAGCACAACGGTGTTCCCGTTCGGCTGAACCTCGATCTCATTGAGCTTGCGAAGTCTCATTCAGGCTTGAACCTCGCGGGCGTGTTTGCAGACATGCTCGAAGACTTCGGTATTAGCAATACATCAGCAAACTGGGCAATTGCTGAGCATCTGACTAGCTGACAGCCAGCTCTCAGAAGCTCAGTTCGCTCAGACTTACCAGCCGTCTTCAGAGACAGCCAGTTGTCAGAGAGTATCTCTGTACTCTTAGACTCATATCAGCTCTTAAGATATTGTTTGTACAGTACTCAAACAGTCGTGCCAACACTTAGTATTGTCGACGTACATTGCTCACACCCTCAACGGTAGCACTGAGGCTATTTTGCGCAACATCGTCCATCCGACACCAATGTATTATGCCATTAGCTATATGAGTAAATACAGAATGAAGCTCCCGCCGCCTGTTCGTCGGCCGTGCCTGCACGTAGGGCGTTAGCCCTGCATGCTCACAGTCGCCGTGCGCGTCATACTCCCCTGTACCCGTCTGCTTGCCCACCCGCCGACCCGTTCGCTTATGCGCCTCTGTTCGTCAACTGTGTCTACATGCCATTTGCCATGCGCGCTTGCAGTCGGCGTACACACCGTGCTTCATGCCGCTGGGTCCTGTTCCTGCAGTTAGCATGCCCGCTCGCACATGTCTGCACTCGCCCGTCTGCACTCACCCCACGCGCTCGCTCGACTGCCCACCTGCCATACCTTTGGTTGCTACTGTCTTGATTACTCGCGAACGGATGCTGGCCGTGACCTCCTTCGTTCCCTGCATGGCCATCGGGGTCCTTGATGCTCCTGGTGCGTTGCGGAAGCACGTTGCGACTGTGCGCCGCGAAATTTTAGGGCCAGCACAAAGGGGATGTTAGGCAAGTGGATAGGACGAGGGTATTAGGACGAACGTACTTTTCATCTGTATGTTTGCTCAGCCGGGCAGTGCGTCACGCTCCCTGCCTACATTCTCATTTCTGAGCACGCATGGCAAAGGTACTACATGCTGCGTGCAGCCAGCAAACGCGCCGCGGGCACAGCCACAGCGATGAGTGGAGCATGGGCGTAGGTGGGAGGCATGCGGACGGCGAGCATGTGGCGGGAAAAGCTGAGCGGATGGCGGGGACGGGCGAGACGGGTCAGTGCGCAAGCAAGCAGGGAGGCGGGAAGACGAGCGGGCAGGGAGACGAGCGGGCAGGGAGACGAACGGGCGGGAAGACGAGCGAGCAGGAAGACGAGCGAGCAGGCGGACGGTCGAGGTAGATGGATACTCGAGCAATGCGCATGTACGAGCGAGGTGGACGAGTAGGTGGGTGAATGAGCGAGCGAGGCGGATCATCCGCAGATGTATGGTCAAGTGAGGTAGGTGGGCGAGCCAGGCAGGTCGGCGAGCAAGGTCGGCGAGCGGGGGGGGCCTGAAGAACGGGCGGGCGAGAAGACGGGCGGGCTGAAGAACGGGCAGGCGAGAAGACGGGCGGGCGAGAAGATGAGCGGGCGAGCGTAAGGACGCGTGCGCAAGTGGGCGAGCGTCACACTCACCTAGTCTCCCCTACGCAGACCTGACGCGGACTAGGGAAATGCGACCTTGTTGAGTGGGAGGGCGGTCGTATAACGACACTCACCTGTACCGGCCCTCCTAGGGCCTGCCTCCACTTACACCGCGTTGCCCTCACTTCTCCGTCACAAAGTGTGTGTGTGTTTTGACGCTACCGCGCAATGCTGAAGTTGAGACGAGGTCGGTGTGGAGGCTGCAGCGCGGCGAGAAGTGCTCAGCGCTAAGTGCCTCAGCCACGACACGTCACGCGCGCTCGCCGGACGACCGCCTCCAAAGCTTCACTGTCAGTCCCCTTCCCCCTGTCTGCTTCGCCCGCCGCCGACCTCCACTACACACAGGCCCGCCCGCCCGCCTGCAAGAGACGGCGCGTGCATTAGCCCGTGTCACGGCCCAAATCGCGCTGTACGCGACCACAACAAGCTCCAGCTCGGACGCGTCAAGAGCATCGCTGGAGGCTCGCGAAGGGACTAGCATGTAGGGGGGTAGGGGGCCTGTGGCCAGTAGGGCCAGCAAGTACTTCAGGTGAGTGTGCCGCTTCCTGCTTCGTTTATCACCATAAACTCTGCCATCGCAGGCTCAGTGCTGGCAGGTCCGTACAGTCTCCTCACCCTCCCCATCTTTCCCACCCCCTCTCTGGCCCTCCTCTCCGCCCACGCCCACCCCCGCGTCCACCTCTTCATCCTCTCCATATCCCGGTCCCGATCCCGCACATATGGAGCCGCTGCCCCGTCCACCGCCGTGTGAGGTAATACGCATGCAGCGCTGCCCCCGACACACCCGCCACCCTAAGCGTCCTCATCTCTCGCAATCATCTCCAGCAAGAGCTCCGGGTCCAGCGTCCCCACCACCCCGCCCCCGTTCCATTCCCGTCCCCGTTCCCGCTTCTCAGTTTCCCGGGACGTCCGCCGCGCCCCGCCACGACGCGCGGCCCGTCAAACTGCAGCGTACACGCGCCCGGTGTTATAGACGGTGACGGCGAGGAACGGCGGGGCCGCCGCACCCGCGAGGACGTCGACATCACGCCGCAGCGGAGCGCGAGCGCGTGCCAGCTCGCAAGCGACGCGACGGTGAGGTCCTCAAGCTGCGGGAATATCGAGCCCTCCTTCGCTTTTGCCTTCCCCGGGCCCACGTCGCCTGCGCCTGCGGCGAGCGGCTCGTGAAGCGTGGTGGGGTCGAGCACGGCGGCGGGGTCGGGCGTGGTGACGAGCATGTCGACGAAGGGCGTGTAGTCCTGCGGGCTATCCACGAAGCCGAGCTCGAGGTGGAGCTTGCGGACGGTGGGGGCGATGAAGGTGTGGAGGGTGCATGAGTGGCTGACGTCGAGGTCGGCAAGCTTGCGGTCGCGGGGCCTGGGGATGGGGCCGTCGGGGAGGCACCAGGGGGTGGCGGCAAGGCGGGGGCCGTAGTGGAGGCTGAGGCGCTCGAGGGCGGGGGAGCGGGCGAGGATGTCCAGCCAGCGATCATCCCGAGAAGGTGCCAGGCCGCCGAGTACGAACACAACGAGTGGGTGCGAGCCTGCCACGTGCACCTAACTCATTTGTGGATAGCAGCTCGCACAAGTGTACGGTAGCATAATGATTATCTACTAGTGATATGTCGTATAGCAGCAACCAAAAGAATGCAATCAAATCAATTTTGTATGTCTGGCTGGTCTGGCTGACGAGCTGGGTTGTCTGATGGGATGTCTGAGCCGTCTGAGAATCCTGTCTGACGCATTAGCATCGAAAAAACTCGAGGTCATGAGGGCTGATGTTCTGAGGCAATCTGAGGCAATCTGAAGGCTTCTGAAGGCTTCTGAAGCCTCTGAGATGGCCGTCAGACAGATTGCGCAAGTTCCTGATGCCTAAGGTACAGGCAAAACACGAGCTCTCAAGCATGGACTCACCAAGGGCTCCAAACAGATTCTCTCTGTCACTGCAGACAATGCATCGTCGAACGATACCATGATCGACGAGCTCTGCCAGCTTGTTGGGTCGTTTCGAGGCCAGGCGGCGCGCGTTCGCTGCTTCGATCACATCCTCAATCTTGTGGTGAAGACGTTGCTGCGGCAGTTCGACACCACGCGAAGCAAGAAGGGTGCCGAGGCTGCAGCCCTCGACGCAGCAGAGGCCGTCTTGCGCGAGCTGGCAGATGATCTTGAAGGACCAGAGGATGATGACGACGTTGTTGGGGAATGGGATGTCAGTGGACTCGACGATGACGATGATGACAATGTCGAGGGATGGGTGGATGAACGGCAGGGCATGACGGAGGAGGAGATCAAGGCCCTAGATGCCACGACGCGCCCTGTCAAGCTCGTGCTCGCAAAAGTTGGTTAATACTGGCTGTAATGATATCAGATCAGCGACTCACCTTAGGATAGCTTCGCCGGCTCTCGCAATCCATCATCAACTCCACGACCAAGCTCCTTCCAGCCTGGCACGCGATGCTTGAAGAGCTCGAGCTGGCGATAGAGAATATGCCACGCGATGTTCGCACGCGCTGGAACTCGACCCATGGGATGTTAGCATTCACGTTAGAGTACCGTGATGCGGTCAACGGACTTACCAGTGACCGGACGATGGACCTGCGGCGGTTGGAGTTGAACGACGACGAGTGGGAGATCGTGACTCAACTGTGTGACGTTCTCAAGGTTTGTCACGTTTTGTCACTCAACACGAGTCTCCGCTAACTGCCGGCACCTCAGATATTCGTCGACGGGACGGAGTTCTTCTCACGCGACAGCCCCAACCTCGCCATGGTCATCCCGGCCATGGACCTCCTTGATGAACATCTTACAGACTACTCGCTCAAAGCAACTGTGCTCCCGTCAATCCGCGCCGCAGTTGGTCTCGCCAAGAAAACGTTGAACCGTTACTACAGTAAGACTGACGAGTCGAATGCGTACCGTATTGCAATGGGTCAGTACATGCCGCACTGCCACTGCCGGCCTCTTCATTATACTAATTTCTCGTAGTCTTGCATCCGCGTCACAAGTTGAAATACTTCGAGTCTGCGCGGTGGGAGGGTGGCTGGATCAAGACAGCCGAACAGCTTGTTCGCGATGAATACGCAGACTGGCTGTCACGCCATGGCAAGAAGGATAGCGAGGTGACAGGCAGCGAGACTGAGCAGAGTGAGGACGAGCAACCGCCTCCAAGGAAGAAGGTATGTGTCTTCGTTCTTGTACGTGGCCGCTGCTCACACCTTACAGTCAAAGAATATGTTCGACAACATACCTGCTCTCGCACTGCCCAAGCCGACGAAGGTTGCAGACGAGCTCGAGACCTACCTCGCTGCTGACGTCGAGGCTGTATATGACCCTCTCGAATGGTGGCATGAGCGTCGTCGCAAATTCCCCAACCTCTCGCGGATGGCCAAGAGCTATCTAACCATTCCCGGTACGTCTTCTTGTTGGGCGTCGGAAGTTACTAATGTCATGGCTTTTCTATCAATAGCTACCTCTGCGGACGTCGAGCGTATGTTCAGTCGCGGCCGTCTCATCCTTCCACATGTGCGGAATGGCTTGGCGTCGCAATCAATCCGCGCGCTGCTTTGTCTGGGTGATTGGAGTCTCAAGGGTTATGTCGAAGATGATGATGTAAGCATAGTTACTTCGCAACCTGACACTGGTGCAGAGGATTACGAGCGGCCGGTCATCGACGTTGACTAGATACAGTTCGAGCCTTACGATACACTCTGCAATATAATGTTATGACCCGCGACCCGCTCGAACCCGCATGACCCGCGCCCAGACCCGCACGACCCGCGCACAAACCCGTACCCGTTCTCGCGGGTCTATACCCTCACGGGTAAGGGTGCGGGTCAGCCTCGGGACACCCTCGGGTGGACCCGTGCTCTGCACTATTGCAGCTAGATGGGCGAGTGTGCGGGCAGAAAAGCGGGCGTGCGCGCGAGTAAGCGAGTGCACAAACGCACGGTCAACTATTCGTACGGGTGTGTGCCTCCAAGCTGTTCAGCACAAGGATACGTAAGCAAGGGTATGGGCGAGCGGGTGAACATGCAGGAGAGCATGTGGATTGGCGGGCAGGCATTTGAGCGGGTGAGTGGACGCGCACGAGGGCAGACAGACGAAATTTCGGGTTGACGGTCACTAGCTACCAGTTGTGCCAGATGGCAGACACATACCGAGGCAAATGAGAATCCGGAAGAGGGCATGCCGAGTAGGTGCAGACGAGAAAGTATGGGTGAGAAGGACCAGAGGCTGGGGGGATAGATAGAGGACAAACCGAATAGCGAGCTCAAATGTGCCGTTCCGGTTATGCCGCTACACACCAAACTCGCTTGATGAACTATCCAGACTGTAAAGTGCACTAGGTCGCAGACGGACGGCGAGGGACAGACCTTTGAATCACTACTTGCCGCACACACAACACTTACTGAAAATACGTGCGTCGCCTTCTTGAGCATGCCGCGCCCGATAAACGAGCTCGAAAACCTCACGCATCCTTGTTTGCATGCTCGTGTTTGGAGTTGTCGCACAACGGTACGTCGAGAACACTGTTACAGTGTTAGCACGCGCAAGGGCCCGGGGTGAACGTTCGAGTCTTTAGCTGAGGACGTCTTCCCGTGAAAGGAAACGGTAGATAGCGGTAAAAGTCGCTTGCGTCCAGCTGAGGAGGAGCAGTGGAAAAGACGGCGACCTAGTAGTAGTACGCGACGAGAGCGCACTGTTGCTTCCACCGCAGACGCACCCGCCACAAGCTCAGCCACACACTTGAGGTTCCGCCTGCGATCCACTACGCACATTTAGACTGCGATTGAAAATACCGACCTCGAAAAGTAGACTAGCCAACACTGGGGGCAAAACACGATGTCCTGGGAAGGAATATGCTGAGGGCATGTGATGATTAGCTAAAGAATTCTGACAATACTTTGCACAAGGATATTGTGAGTACTGTTGAAGTAATCCTAGGATACACGGGGGCCGGACATGGTACAATGCAATACAAATGTCTGTTGTCCGGATATGAGTCACATAATATGTTCTGCTCAAATATGTCGAGAGCAGGCTACATATTCCTCGCATACTTGTATCGAACACAATGTAAAACGATGATAGCTTTCCCGACCCAGGACATGCATGAATCAGGGAAGGATTATTCTATATTTACTCATTCAGAATACTTCAATAATACACGAACTTTCCATACTTGGTACATGACAACACAACACCAAATTCGACGACTGCGATCTCGATCTCGACCACGATCTCGACCACGACACCGACCGCGACTCAGACACCGACCGTGATCCCGACTACGACATCAACTGCGACATTGACCGTGATGGCACAATTCCCGCTCTTAATGCGGTCGACATTGTGTTGTGCTGCAGTTCATCGTTGATGTCGCAGTCGGTGTTGCGGTCAATGTCGCAGTCGGGGTCGCAGTCGGGATCGCGGTCGGTGTCTGAGTCGCGGTCGGTGTCGTGGTCGAGATCGTGGTCGAGATCGAGATCGCAGTCGTCGAATTTGGTGTTGTGTTGTCATGTACCAAGTATGGAAAGTTCGTGTATTATTGAAGTATTCTGAATGAGTAAATATAGAATAATCCTTCCCTGATTCATGCATGTCCTGGGTCGGGAAAGCTATCATCGTTTTACATTGTGTTCGATACAAGTATGCGAGGAATATGTAGCCTGCTCTCGACATATTTGAGCAGAACATATTATGTGACTCATATCCGGACAACAGACATTTGTATTGCATTGTACCATGTCCGGCCCCCGTGTATCCTAGGATTACTTCAACAGTACTCACAATATCCTTGTGCAAAGTATTGTCAGAATTCTTTAGCTAATCATCACATGCCCTCAGCATATTCCTTCCCAGGACATCGCGTTTTGCCCCCAGTGCAATGGGCCACGTGCAAAAAGGGTTGTCTGCGTGTGACAGGAAGCTAATTTACAACTAATCCGACACTATCGACGGTCTACTTCGACCGAGTTGGGGAGGGTATGACGGTTTTTTCGACCTTCTGGTATAAATTTTCGGAATCGCCCATCCAAGGGTCGACCACCCTCCCCACCCCCGGGGGCCTTGTGTACCCGATCTGCCGATCCGCCGCCTCTTGTTGTCAGGCGTAAATTAAATCGGCAGCGTCTATAAATAGATCCTCCATACCTGTTCCGGTAAGTACCTCGTCTCCGCCTGTGATGCCGACGCCTTCAGCAACATCAGACGCAGGACATTCAGGCACCTCTGTACGAGACTTACCGTTCACCCGAGGATAATGTGCTTCATAGCAGCGTGCTGCCGACCCGCAGCAGGCAAGATCACAATTCCCCGCCACCCCATTTTCCGTGCGTGAGTCCTCAACAGAATAAACATGCAAGGCATGCGTTCCAAATCGTGCCTTCCTCGCAGCGCAGTTCATTGGCCAAGTCTTGGCGGAAATCGCATACTTCTGAAGTGACGCTGGTTGAAGACGTCATGCAGGCTTCACTCTCGTTGTATTTGTGGCATTTTGGCCAGCCTGCCCCCATCCTCACCTTCGGTTCCATATGTCTGACCATAAAGTCATTGAGGATGATTATAACAAATCGCAGTGCTCCACGCAAGTCGTATGGCGTCATGAGGGAACTCATCTTCTTGTATTCGTTCATCTATACGCTATAGCTTTAGGTCGGAAGTCTTCTGACCGCATGGCTGCGCATACATACTTAGAGTGTTACATGACATATATCTATGCTCTGCTACCACATGCAATACGTTCGAGACTCTCGCGATGCTGGTTATAGATGCTAACAGTGGACCAAACTGTCTGAACCTACATATGCAATACGGAAGGACACTGTGTTCGCGACGCGTCACGGCACGTGATCGTGCAGCCGCCCATAAATCCAACTGCCCGGCTGCAACGCGCCAGACCACGCCCGCTCCTTGAAGTTGCTGTCAGTGGCGGCGTGCTACAATCATCTATCCGCCGATCACAACCCCTCTGTCAGTGTCAATCGCACTCACGGCAGAGGAACTCAGAGCAGTCACCATGAGCGAGGGGCCATCTATCCGCGCCATTCCGTACGTATGGCGCCACGAGGACGAAGCGGACATCATAAAGGAGTACCTCGCCGCTGTCCAGCAGGACCGCGCGCAGGGCGTACGTGACGACGCGGAGGACGAGTTGAGCGATACCGAGACCGTCTTCTCTGACGATCCGTCGTCGGAAGGGTCGGACGAGTCAGCGTCACTCGACGACGAGGATGTCTTCGAGTTCGGTCACACGGACGACGAGATCGAGGACGAGGAGGACGACGGCTACGTGCACTACGTCCAGGACGATAAGAACTACGACCCTACAGACCCTGAATTTTGGAGGAGGTACTACCACGGCGACTTCAAGAAGTTCAGCCTCCGGATGGGGCCCGAGCGGGAGTTCCACACCTCGTTCAAGGACGTGGCGTGGTACGATCCGAAGAAGCCCAGGCGGGTCGCGGACGAAGAAGACCTGCGCGAGACGCAGCGTGCGTGGGACGACGTCGCGCTCGGGCGCGGGCCGTTCGAGAGCAGGCAGAAGCTCGTCGAGGTGCACGAGAGCCTGATGCGCGCGCTGAACGACCTGGACGACGAGGTCGCTGACCAGCAGGGGGCTGTGAGCAAGGCGGTGCAGAGGAGAGCGCCGGGCGTGGTGCTCGAGGAGGGGTGGGACATCGAGAAGGTCGTCAACGAGCTGCGGATGCGCTCGACGATCGAGGTGGAGCACGCCCCCATCGACAACCTCCGCCGCGGAGTGGTCTACCTCGCGCGGTCGTTGCATCTCAAGGAGATCCTCATGTATCGCGGCAAGAACGCATACCCTCCCACGTTCGTTCCGCCTGCCGTTGGGGAGCCTGAAGATGTCTGCGCCGCGGACGAAGAAGAGCAGGAGTATGTCTTGGTATAAAGACGTACCAGAATGATCGACGGGTACGTCGTCGTAGCGACTCTGCCGTTTCCATCCTCATCGTGAAATACCAGGAACTTGTGTTTCACCCAGTTTGCCGCAGTCCCCTCCTTTATCTCAACGAATGCTCGACACCTGTACATTGCTCACTGCTATCGGCTTGCTATCGCTCCCGCTTTGTATCTGTCCCACCCCGAAACACCGTATTTCTCGACATCGCGCCGCCATGCACCCTACAAAATCTATCTGTCACTATTGCTGGTCATTAAGACAATGTCACACGCGACGAGATCGATCCCAGCAGTGCAACACTGGTTCACATACTGTGTGGCTAGCACGTCGTACTGAAACACTGTATCATACGTCGACTGAATTGGCTCGGCATTGAGCAATCATATATGTGAGCTTTGCAGTTTCTTTCTGTTATACAGTGTCGACGCCCGCCTCTTCAGTCGACTTCTGATAGACATCGACCGCGCGCCACCCACCAAGTACAAGATCTCAATAAGTATTACGCGCGTCTTTGTAGCGCGCCTGACACGTGACCGTGCTTCCTTCCATCGAGATCCCGACCGCGAGGCGACCGCACGGGCCACAGCGCGCCCCTATAGTGCGCTCAGCGGCGAGCGTACACTCGTCCCACCGACGTCCAGACATAGCCCTTCACTGGAATCCGTCATAGAGCATTCATCATGAGCGAGGCTCCAGCACTTCGCACCATCCCCTATGTGTGGCGGCACGAGGACGAGACGGGCATCGTACAAGAGTACCTCGCCGCTGTTCAGCAAGAGCGCGAGCAAGGTGTACACAGCGACGACGAGTCCGAGCTGAGCGATAGCGCTACGTACTACTCGGACTCGAACTCGGAGTCATCGGAGCCATCAGACGGGTCATCCGCCGAGGACGTCGACGAGGACGACGATGACGATACCGACGACGATGATGAAGAAGAAGAAGACCTCTCAGAAACGGTCTTGATGGAGCGCCGCCTGCGCGAGACACAGCTCGCTTGGGACGACGTCGCGTGTGGAAACGCGCCGTTCGACAGCAGGCGGAAGCTCGTCCGATGGCACGAGAGCCTCATGCGCGCGCTGAACGAGTTTGACGACGAATACGCGCAGAAGAAGAAGGGGCGTCGGAGCAAGGCGGTGCAGAGGCGAGAGGCAGTCGTGGACCTCAACCAACGCGACATCGACAAGGTTGTCGAAGAGCTGCGGCTGCGCTCGACGCTGGAGGTGGAGAACGCACCCATCCAGGACCTCCGCCGTGGACTGGTCTACCTCGCACAGGCGTTGCACCTGAGGGAGGATCTGATGGACCGCGGTAATGCGTACCCGCCCACGTTCGAGCCACCTCTCGATGACGATGAAGAAGAGTATGTCTTCGTGTGATGGTCTCAGATTCGCAAAGTATGGTATGTCCTCTCATCTTTGTTGCTGCTGCATACATTCGGGGCCAGCACCTGACCTCCCGTCCGCAGTCCTGCATCTCTAGCATGACGAATGTACATTAGTGCCGTTGCTCTCAGCCTGCTATCGTCTCTCTTTCGTGTTTATCCTACGCTGGTACGTCGCAATGCCCTCGTTGCAACGTCGCTTTCGATCTGCTGTTGATTGAATATCATGATCGACCCGAGAAGCACGATTCCATCGTCGGGTGATGTATATGTACGTGTACCACCCTTCGCCTTGTGTGCTGGCTGGACCTTTGTTGATTCCCCGACGGAGGCAAAAGTCAACGGACTCGTTGACACATGCGCATGTTTTCTCCGGACATTGCGGGCATGAGATACATATTCAAATTCGAGACGGCGATACAACGGGATACAATCGCGCTTTTGAGTCTGTGCGACTATCGCAGGAGCTTGTTTCTCATGCAAGTCGAAATGCCGCCGACTCCCTTGCCGAGCTTCATTGTGTCTTAAGAGTTTCAGTCCACACCTAGTGTCCGTCAAGCTTCCCGCCCTTGCCGACAAATCCCGCAAGCTCCCAAGCCTTTCAACCTTCTCCCATGTGGACCGTGCGACGAGTGCGGTCATCTGATGGAGTCCATATCACGTAACGAGTACTGTGCGCTCTGTTCTCATCCGAGTCAAACATACTGAGTTCAGTTCCACAGAAGTCTATGGTTCCTGGTCCAAGACTTATTCGGCGCCAGAATTTCGCGGCATTCCACAGATAACGCCGCCTTCATAGCTGTGGGACGCGATGGTATTTGAATGTCACGGTGAAAGACCTGCGCTTAGCGGCCTGGGCCGGCAATCTGTGTGAGCCGATATACTTATAGTCTACTGATTCGAGTTCTTCGGGGCCTGTGCTAGGCAACTCCCCGCAATCATCATGCTTTACATCCTGTTACTTGGTCTCTCTATTCTTCTCGCAGGTTACAATATCTCTCGGAGAAACGCTAAAGGGCCTCTGCCTCCAGGGCCACGTGGACTCCCTTTCCTCGGAAACGCGCTACATATCCCCCCGGAGTACAGCTGGTTGACGTTCACACGCTGGGCGCAAACGTACGGTAAGAGCTCGAACGTTGTACGGAGACGAAGCGTCCTCATCCAATCTTCCCAGGCGATGTTATGCACTTGTCTGTGATCGGTCAATCGTTCATCATCCTGAGTTCTCGAAAGGCAATCGACGACTTGCTTGAGAAACGCGGCGCTATGTACTCTGATCGACCTATCATTCCTATGGCGGGAGAGTTGTAAGTGACTCTAGAGAACTAATCTAAGGCTGCTCACGTAGCCTAGAGCTGGATTCGGGCAATACATGGCTATGTTCCCGTACGGGCCTCGACACAGAGAGGGCCGTAAGTTGTTCCTAGGCACGCTCAACCCACGAAACGCACCTCGCCTGCAAGCCATTCAGGAAGAAACCGTGGCGCCGTTTGTCGCCAACCTCGCCGAAGATCCCTCGAATTTCTTGTTGCATATACGGTGGTACGTGGAATTGCATCGCCGCGCACATCAGAGCGAGTATTGATACCAGACTGCCAGGCTTGTCGCGAGCGTTGTCCTTCGGATCACGCACGGGTTGACGATCGACAGTTATGATGATCCGGTCATCCAGACAATGGAGAAGGTCATTCATGACGTCTCCAAATTATCGGCACCGGGAGCATATCTAGTTGACAGCCTACCTATCCGTCAGTTCGTTGTTTGCTGTCGCAGCTATAAGCTAACGGTCAACAGTGATGCACATCCCGGACTGGTTTCCGGGTGCTGGCTTCAAGAAGGTTGCGAAGGACGCGCGCGACAACTCCTCCAGGATCGAACACAAGCTGTATGGCATCGTGAAGGAGCAGGTGGTACGCCGAATCTCATGCTGAATGGCAACAAATACTCAGTATACGCAGGCTCGTGGGACAGCGCTCCCTTCCTTCGCAGGCGATTTGATGCAGAATAATCCCAATGCAACGCCAGAGGAAGAGGATCTGTACAGAAAAACGGGAACCCTGTTCTACACAGGTAGGCCTGTCAAATATCATAACATTTAGCTTGCGCTTATTCAATTCGTAGCGGGGTCCGATACTGTAGGTGTCCTTGTGTAGAGCACACCACCTACTGACCGCTCATTGTCTTACAGACAGTCTCTGTTATCGAGTCTTTCTTGATTCTGATAGCACAGAATCCGGGCATCCAGAAGAAGGCTCAAGCTGAAGTAGATGCAGTGACTGGGCGCACACGGCCGCCGGTCTTCAGCGATCGCGAGGCCCTACCATACCTTGACGCAGTGCTAAAGGAGGTGTTCCGTCACAAGCCTGCAGGACCCTTAGGTACGCATCGTGGCTTGCTGTTCCCTCCTCGTCGTTGACACTATTTCTCACAGCTCTTCCGCACAAGGTCCGTCAGGATGATCACTATGCAGGGTATTGGATTCCAGCAGGCTCTACTGTATTGTCTAATACATGGTATGTCGGCGTTCAATGATTAGGATTCGGGTGAATCGCTCGCTGACACCTAGGGCAGGGCTATCATGCGTGATCCCTCGCTCTACCCAAACCCCGACCTAGTGGATCCGGAACGCTACTTACGCGACAGCAACGAAAATCTGAATCCCGACCCACGGATTTTCGCGTTTGGGTACGGAAGGAGGTAAGCCGCTTCCTTGAGCGGTGTAGGCCTTGAGTCACGTTCGAAAACAGAGTATGTCCCGGCCAAATGCTTGCAGAGAGTACTCTGTTCCTAACTGCGGCAAACATCCTGGCGTCCTTCGATGTCAGCGAAGCCTTCTCCTTGGATGGTTCAGAGCCTAAATGGGGAGGTGGCGTCGTGAGGTACGTCACTTCGGCTTTTCCAAGTTGTCGACTCGTGACCGATGGTATATCCTCTAGTCAACCACTACCCTTCAAGTGCACCATCAAACCTCGTACAAAGACAGCCCATCATGGCTGAGCTCACTTCGATAGGACAGAGGTTGATGCGGCGGGTGGCGGTTGTGTTCCACGGGTCCGTGATATAGCATGGTATTTTGTTGCGAACACCCAATATTGTGTCACTGTACCTCAGAACATGATGCACCTGATTCTGGTTGCCTCTGAGGCTCAATTAACGCTCACCCTCAGTCTGAACAAGCCGGGGTAGTATGAAGACAGCTATTGCGATTACTGTAACGGCGGCGATCTTCAAGTTATAGACCTTAAGAAGGAGTAGTGTTGGCGCTCGGACTTGTGGTCATCGAGGCGGCTGTAGCGACACGCGTGTGCAGCACTGCCGACGAATGTCGTACAAGCTTCCGAGACTCGCACATGATTTTCCATGGCACAGAGCATGTACGCAACGACGATTTGAATTCCGAACCGCGATTTCGTATTCGGGCGCGGATACATGGTACTGTAACGGCGTCATAATAGATCGCCTCGAGGTTGACTTGTACACCGACTGCGGTCGATCTCGACTCTCGACTCACACCATCCTGACCTAAACTAAACTACCGCAATTATTGACATAGATCTAGATAGATTACGGGCATGTAGAATACGTACTAATTGGAAGCTAGCAGTCGCAACCCACACACCGCCAATACGCGTATCTTTTCCGTCGGAGTGCGCTCAGCCTCTGGCCCGTTCGAGCCTGCCAAGGGCAGAGCCGTGAAAGTATACCGTCGACGAAAGCAGCAAACTTATTCTTTCCCGGATGAATGGTCTAAAAACTAGATCAGGAGTGCTGGTACTATGGAGTCACGTCCATGTAGTACCTGTCGATAGGCGGCACCCACCGTGGATCCTAGGGCTTTATGCATGGCGGTGCCATAGTAGATCCCAACCGACGAATTCGTTACAGTCCCTTGCGTATGCACCGGAGTCATGGAGCAGTCTCTAATCTAGATACAATGTGTTTCAGCACGAATGAGTACGCATCAGAGATGTCATTTGCGGACTCCGAGTCAGTGTACGTACCAAGGAGGTAGTGGACCGTGACATCGCGCGAGTATCCAGGCGCATCACTCCCCTCGTTTCTATAGCTACGGGCATCCCGCATCAGTGCCTGAAAGCTGTGAGCCCAGACTGCTCCAGGTTACTCTAGATTCACTCTGGGGAGCCAGTGGCATTAACTGCTCTTGCCCATATGCACCTTAGCCATGCAGGGCTGGTACAGTCCTGAGAGCTCAAGATCCAATTCAGGACACAGCTTCTGATGTTCTGATGTCCATTCTGATAGGGGTATGAGGATCTAGGAAGGTCATGTGTGCTGCATTGTGTCAAGCTAAAAAGAGGGTCAGACAATGGAACCAATATAAGACAATGCATGCTCACAGACAAAGCTCCAGGAGCTCTCCTACTTGAAGGCACTCATCCTGAGACAAACCACCCCCACCGTCCTCACCCCAACCACCGCAAAGCCATGGACACCATTCAGAGCGTCCTCCCCGCCGACGCTACCGCGCGCATCCTCGAGCAGTACCTCGCCAGCGTATCCCAATCGCGCGAGTCTGGCTACGACAGCGACGAGGCGATGTCCACCGACTCTGATGCGTCATTCACCGAGGAGGGCTCCTCGTCCTTCGCCACCACCTCGAGCGACGTCGCCTCCGCGCTCTCCTCGCTCACCCTCTTCGACCGCGTGCACACCGCCGACATCGCTTCGGACGACTCCGCATTCAGCAGCGACGACGAGTTCGCCGAGGAGGGCACCCGCGCGGAGCAGCAGCTCAGGAGGGACCTCGTCCTGGGCCGCCCGCCGCAGTCGCTGCTGCGCTGGCGCCCGCGCGAGCTCAACGACCTGCACGAGTCGTACATGAAGCAGCTCGCCGACGCGGACGTCGAGCTCGCGGAGCTCACGGACGTCCCGAACGACGTGATCGTCCGCCGACAGGTGTCAGCCGAGTGCCGCGCGCCCCCCGATATGGATGGGCGGGATACGGCGGCGGTCGTGCGCGAGCTGCGGATGCGCTCGTCGAAGGAAATTGCAGATATGGAGAAGCCTGAGTCGGTGAGGGCGTTGATGCTCCTCGCGCAGGCGTTGTTCAGGCGCGAGAAGGAGATCAAGAGGATCCTGTACAGGAAAGACCAGATGGACGAAGACAGCGAGGAAGACTAAACGGCCAACAACCCACGACGTGATGACCCTCCTGTGTTCCCTGTCCTTAGCGTTTCTGCACCGTGCTGCTGTTAGACTCTTCAGGTACCATGTTGCTTGTACGATATCGTTGCCTCGACATTCGCTTGCCCAGTCTGTACACATGAGTTTGGTTCTCTAATCTCAACTTGCAGAATCACGAGATTTGCATTGAGCCTGACCCATTACTGCCCGCACACATGGCCTGGGGAAGGGCTGCGTCAGGAACTGCTAACACATTGCTAGCACAGTGCCAGACATACCCTTGAATGCAACCCAATGTCTTTACAAGCTGACAAAACGAAGCCATGACCGAAGACTAGCCACGATAAACCGATAGCGACGCGTCTGTGAACCCGTGAACTAGGGGCGGAAGCTGGCTCGATCGGGCAGACCTCGATCACATCCGCTTGCCTCTGCAGGTGCTCCCGCTTGCATCCGCCATCGGCTCCAGTCTGGTACATTCTTGCGGGTGCAGAATGCGGGTGGATTATAACCTGCGCAGGGGTTAGACGGTCGATCAAGGACAGTCGCTCTCCACGCACCATCCACCCGCGACATCACATTCACAAGTCGCGATGCGCTGCTTCTCCAACGTCCTCCTGCTCGCCGTTGCCGCCTGCACGATCAGCGCAGCACCAATCCAGAACATGCCACTACCACTACAGATTGCAAACACGCAGAGCCGGGTAGAGGCATCTCATTTGTTCGGGTCAAAAAGTCTGCCATGGAACGCCCCAGTGGTAAGTCTCTTTCGACCTGCGTGCCCAGCAAGCCACTGACAGGATTCCACAGCGTCGATTGTAAACAGGGCATCTGCAGGGAGCAGGGAAACCTCGATGTCGGGGGACGGAGGAGGGCTCACCGAGCCACACAGAGGAAATCATACGCCTGCTATTCCGGGAGAGAGTAGCGAGACGGAGGAAGGGATTGTATACGTACTGTACATTAAAGCGACGAACCGTTCGAGAGGGGATATGGCGCGGGACACGTACCCAAAGTAGAGCTTCTGCATGAAAGTGTATCGTCGTGGAGGGAAAAGTCATCGCTTCAAGAGGTGACATCGCTTTCTCTTGACAAAAGCGGAAACACCTGCCAATTGCCTAATCGATGCGAGCCGAGTATCGAATTGCATGCGATATGTGGCAATCGCAGAAAGATTGGTTAAATCAGGATCATGTTCAACGCGCATAGGACGGTGTTGCGGATGCGCAGCGGGGACGAGGAGGAGGCGGTGGAGGAGGAAGGCTGCGCGGGGATTGCCTGACTGGGAGGATCTGCCACTGATGGCAAACAGAGGCAAGCAGGGAGGGCGGGCGCGTCGCCAACGAAGCGGACTCGGTCGGCCAGGTCTGCAGCTGCAGCTCGCATTCTCTCCGTCCTCCTCTCCTCGACCGCGTCCAGCTCTCGCACAGCCATGGCCAACGCTCCCCCGCCCCCGTCCGACGGCATTGGCATCGCCAACCTGCCCAACCAGGTATGTTTCTGCCCTCGTCTTTCGTCTGACGACGCGAGGTGACATTTTCCCTCTGTAGCGACACAAGATCGTCGCGAAGCGCGGCGCGCACTTCACTGTCATGGTTGTCGGTGAGTGTGCATGTCTTGCACGCATGTACGCAGGTTTTGAGACAGTTGGCGACGCCCGCAGGCGAGTCCGGTCTTGGAAAGACGACGCTCGTCAACACGCTCTTCTCCACCGAGCTGTCCCCGGCCAAGAACTACAACCGCCGCCACCACAAGCAGCTCGACAAGCTCACCGAGGTCGAGATCATCAAGGCCGAGCTTGAGGAAAAGCAGTTCAAGACCAAGCTCACCGTCATTGACACCCCCGGCTTCGGTGACTACGTCAACAACCGCGACTCGTGGGCGCCCATCGTCGACTTCATTGACGACCAGCACGAGGCGTATATGCGCCAGGAGCAGCAGCCCCAGCGCAAGGACAAGATCGACCTCAGAGTGCATGCGTGCCTGTACTTCATCCGGCCCACCGGGCATACGTGAGTGATGACGGTCGCGTAGCAGGCATCGTATACCGAATGATTTCGTCTTTCCGCAGGCTCAAGCCTCTCGACATCGAGATCATGAAGCGTCTGGGCACGCGTGTCAACCTGATTCCCGTCGTCGCGAAGGCGGATACCCTCACCCAGAACGACCTCTTCACCTTCAAGCAGCGCGTGAGTTTCATCATGCGTCCACGTCAGTGAATTCGAGCTAACAGGCGCTCTAGATCCGCGAGGTCATTCAGGTGCAGGGCATCAGGATCTACCAGCCGCCCATCGAGCCCGACGACGAGGTGACAGCCGAGCATGCGCGCATCCTCGCCGAGGCCATGCCCTTCTCCATCATCGGTTCGACCGAGGAGGTCACCACCGCCGATGGCCGCAAGGTCAAGGGTCGCGAGTACCTCTGGGGTGTTGCCGAAGGTACCTCCTCGCCCTCTCGCCCGCTCCCCCACCCAAACTAACTCGGTTTGCCCTTGACAGTCGAGAACGAGAACCACTGCGACTTCCGCAAGCTGCGCTCGCTGCTGATCCGCACGCACATGCTCGATCTCATCTCGACGACGGAGGAGATCCACTACGAGAACTACCGCCAGAGCCAGATGGAGTCGCGCAAGCCGGGCGAGTCCAAGCCGCGCAAGTTCGAAAACCCCAAGTTCAAGGAGGAGGAGGAGGCCCTCCGCAAGCGCTTCACCGAGCAGGTCAAGGCCGAGGAGGCCCGCTTCCGGCAGTGGGAGCAGCATGTGCGTCCCGTCGTCATCACCGTGTGTTGTTCAAGACGATGTGTGCTGACATATTTCTGCAGCTCATCCAGGAGCGCGACCGCCTCAACAAGGACCTGGAGCTGGCGCACAGCGCGATCAAGTCCCTCGAGGCCGAGCTGGACAACCTCCAGGTCGGCTACGGCCGGAACACTGGCAGGCGGTAGATGTCCATACGTACGCTGTCCCGCCTGCTACCTATTTACCAAAAGCGTTGCTTGTCTCGATGATACCCTGCCCACACGCTTGTCGCTCGTTACGCTTCGGTTCGCCGGCTTGGTTTTCTGTCTCTCGTTACTTCGTGTTCATTTTGGGATAATACTCGCTGTTGCCTGTTGTCTTACCGCGCCGCGGCGAATAGAACGCATTGTGCGCTCGTTTTCATGTGGGTGAACGTAAGATGCCATTGCTACTGCCAAGTATTACAGGTATTAGAGATGGAGGATGGTGCATACGTATGTATCAGTGAGTGCGTTCTACTAAGTAGCAAACTTGTGTTCTACAGCAAGAGAACAAAGTCCCGCAAGGCTCTTTCACGGTGTGAGCACAGCGGGGTGGCGAGCCTGCGCCCGCGCCGCCGCGATCTCCTTCGTGTGCTCCAGCATATGCTTCACGCGGAAGGCCTCCTGCTCCAGGCGCCCCATCTTGCTCAGGACAACGCCGGGATGCCTGCGCGCGATGTGTTCCTCCAAGTCAACAGCCGGCGCGTTCTCGTCCCGCGCCTGCTTCGGCCACTCCTTGCCGTCCGTCCGCGCCCCGCGCTGGTCTATGCCAAACACCTCCATCGCGTCGTCTACCTCCGCCTCACGCGCCGCGTCCGCGTAGATCGCCTTCCACTCCTCCGCGTGCTTGTACCACTCGCCCAGGCCGACCTTGATCATCCGCTTCTCGAGCGGGATCGGCTCCGCCATGCCCTCGCCATTGATCCCCCGTCCGACCGACTCCGCGTTCCACCGGATGCCCAGCGGGCCACCGCGCTCACCACGGAGCAGGCGCGCGAGGTCGACGACGAGCTCGTGCGTGCGGTTGAGGCGCATGTTGCGGACACGCCCGCCCATCGACGGGCCGTACTTGCGGTCGTGCGGGTCGACGGTGGAGTAGAACGGCGTCCCGCGGGCGTACGCGCGCGAGAGCCGGGCGACGGTCGTCGCGAGCGGGCGCGTCTGCAGCGTCACGCTCAGGAGCGGCCGCCAGAAGGGCGTCTCCGCCAGCGTCGGGAGGTACTCCGACCGCACCTGCTGGACGGCAGCGTTGGCCGCGGCCGGGTTGCCCACCGCGTTGACGTCGACCTCGTCATCCTCGTCGAGCTTGAAGGCATCTTGCTGACGAGTAGCCTGTCTCGGCGGCTGCGGGAGCGACGCGTCCCGCGCGGGTGCAGGGCTGCGCATGACCGAGGGCGACATGAAGCCAAAGGTAGAGTCCGACACAGCCAAGGCGCGAAGGACTGCACTCGTGTGCAGGCCGCGAGCACCGCTGCTCGACGTAGACGTGTTCCCTTTGCCGTTGCCGTTCCCATTCCCGTTCCCGTTCGCGCCTCTAATGATCTCCGAATCGTGCCATTGTATCTTCTTCGTCGCAATTACAGGGTGGTCCTCCGTCGCGACCTTCGCCGCCGTCGGGTGGAACTCCGTCTCGGGAGTCGGGGGCTCGAAGCCGCTCGGGTGGCGCACCGTGCCCTCATGCGGGATCCTCACCTCCACCGGTATCTTCTCCTCGCGCACCCTCATGTCCGCCGCGAGGCCCTCCGAGAGGATGCCCGCGTTCAGCTCCGACATCAGGCCGCCCTCCTCCTCCTTGCGCTCCGCGATGCTCGACCGCTGGCGCTTCCGCTCGATGTAGTACGTCGGCACGACGTCGTCGCGCGTGTTCTCCTCGCGCTGGCGCCGCGTCAGCACCGTCTGGCGCTCGGGTGTGTCCCACGAGGACGCCGGGATCTGCGAGCGCTGCCCGCCGGTCGACGCCGCCTGGGGGCCGAGCTGCGAGACAGCGCCCGCTAGCGAGGGCTCCGCCTGCGTGCCCGCAGGGTGCGTGACGACGTCCGGGTTCGTGAGCACCTCCGCCGCGTCCAACTCGGCCTGGTCGCGCATATACTTCCTCCGTGAGAAATCTGTCTCGACGCCCTCGTCATAGTTCGGGCGAGGGGGCACCGCGTCCGTCGCGGGAGGTCATCCCAGCGCTGCTTGAGCGTCCCGACAAGCGGGTGGTCCTCCGTCGGCTTCTTCGCAACGGCGGGGTGGAAGTGGGTCTCGGGCGTCGGGGGCTCGAACCCGCTCGGATGGATGACGAGACCCTCTTCAGGCATGCGCACCTCGACGGGGATCTTCTCTTCACGGACCTTCGTCTCGGCAGCGAGACCTTCGCTGAGAATACCGGCGTTGAGCTCCGCCATCAAGCTGCCCTCCTCCTCCTTCCTCTCGGCGACCTCCGACCTCTGGCGCTTGCGCTCGACGTAGTACGACGGCACGACGTCGTCATCGGCGTCCTGCGACGGCTTGTGCGGGCGGGCCCACGTCGACCCGGGGATCTGCCTGCGCATCTCGAAAGAGCCCGGGCCCTCAGGAGGCTTGCTCGGGTCACCGTTCTCCGCGCGCGGGTGCATGGAGAAGTGGAAGACACGGCGCTGCTCGGCGCGGCCGCTCGGGCGCTGCGGCATGAGCAGCTCCGTGGCACGGACGGGGCGGCGGGGTGCATACGTCCTCTTCCCTGATACTTCATCTTCGGCACGGGCCGCTCAGCCGCAGCCTTCGCCGCGGCCAACTTCGCCTCCAGCTTGGTCCACTTGGCCTCCGACATCGCCGCCCCATGCTCCGCGTCAACGACGGCGTCGAAAGCCTCCGTGTGGTCCAACTCGTCTATCTTGCGCATGATCTCTTCGTGCGTCTCGTCTCTATCCAACCACTTGACGCGGGGCACCCTCTTCTGCGGGCCCCACGGCCACCGGGCATTGTCCATCATCTCCATGGTATCCTCG